AGCGACAATCCTTCCTCAACTCAACACTGTATTTTGGAAACCCTCGTTCTTTCCTGTCTACTGGCATAGCCTGCAAATCTGAACTGAAGGCTGCAGTATAAACTACTACTAGATTTTTCCAGCCTTCACTACAGACATTAGATTCTCCAGTCTCTAAATCATATGAACCAGTTTCTTCAAATAAATCCTTTACACACCTGTCATAACTACCTTGAAGGCTTATATCAGAATACCACTGTTTGAAGCCAGACTCTGCAGGAAATTTCCCAAGACCCTTTTTCTACCCACAGCTGATGAGCCATTGTCCAACTAGGCAATGTGGGAAGCTGAGATTGAGAGGCTCAGGATTCCAGGCCAGCCTGAGCAGAAGAACCCATGAGACCTCATCTCAGTGGAAAGAAGCAGGACCTAGTGGCACTCGCTTGTGATGCCAGCAAACATGAGAAGCCTGAAACAGATAGATTACATCCAGGCTCATGCTTAGGGAAAGAAGTGTAACATTATCTTTACAATAATCAAGAAGGAACAAGTGGCTTGTGCCTATAATCCTATCGACACAGGAGGCTGAGATAATGAGGATTACAGTTTGAAGCCAGCACAGGCAGACCAGTCCTTGAGACTCTTATTGTTATTGTTGCTGTTGTTTTTAAGTAGTTGTACAAAGAACTTGCCAGTTAATAAAGCAGTTTATGAACACAAGGTGTCTTGATCAATGCCACCCCTTTCAACATTCCCACCCACCCTTTCCCCACTCACTCCTTCCTTCCCTCTTCTTAATTCCACCAGATCTACATTGGATTGTTGACTATATTCTTCCTATTCTCCTCTCCATTTGTCTACTCATTTCCTCTTGATCCCACTCCACCCCTTTCAAATGCTGAACTTTCAGTAATTTTCAAGTTACTGAACTTTGCCATTACCTTCCTAGGCAATATGCTATTTGAGTCCTCCCTTGAATCTGCCATATTTCAGTTAATGCATCTGTATACACTTACATACCACCCAAGACTCTTAGCTCCAATTAACTGACCAAAAGGTAGAAGTGGTCCTGTGGTTAAAGTGATAGAGCATTAGATTTGAGCAAAAAAGCTCAAGAACAGTATCTAGGCCCTGAGTTCAAGTCCCAGGACCAGTACATTTAAACACAAAAAAATCAACAACAACAAAAATTCATGGCTAGAAGCATGACTCTAGGTTAAGAGTATCTGTCTAGGAAGGCCAAAACCTTGAGTTGAAATGCTCAGCACTAGTAAAAATTAAATAGTCTCTTAGTCTCTCTCCCCTGCCCCTTCCCTCTCTCTCTTTCTCTCTCTTTTGCTCACTCTCTCTCTCTCTCTACACACACACACACACACACACACACACACACACACACCTCTGCTCTTCCTTCTCCTCCTTCTCCATACCTCCTGCTGCTTCTACGTCTCTAGAGAACATTGACTAATACAGTGGCCAAATTATAGGGAGGAAAAGACAATAATTAAATGGGAAATGTCAGAAAGATCTTCAGGATGGAAAATCTGGTGACCGAATTCAGAGCAAAAACAATCTGTCAGAGTCTGAAAATGTTTTGAATTCTAACAGCATATTCATAACCACACAGATCTGTCACAGGCTTGACTATCAAACTTCTTGCTTTTGGGACAAAAGTTCAGCTGGTTGGTGTTCTATTCCTAGTGCATATTCTCTGGGTACCAGATCAAGGCTTTGCCCTTAACTAGCCTTGCCCTTAACAGACCTGTTTTTTCTGGCCAGATATTTAGGGCAGGACCTGGTTTTGATTATTTTTGGTACGAGATTCTCTAGAACACTAGGATTCAATATGCAATAATTGATTGGATGGAAACAGCCTTTTGATTTTTAAAATCGGAACCTAATAAAATAATAAAAATTAATTTTTTGTGTGTTTTTGTCATGTTGGCTAAAAACATGCTTTTCTTCTCAAAAAAGAAGGAAGAATTGGATTTTTTGTCAAGGAAAATTAAAAGATATTATTAAATGTAACAATGTCCCATGATCACATAAAAGTCTTTAAAAGTGTACTTACATAAATAAAATAAAATTTGAGATATTATTTCTGAAATGTATAAAGATAAAATCTCCTCCTCCTCCTTCTCCTCTTCCATTCATTTTTCTCCTTGTTCTACATTTTTTTTAATTTTAAGACAGGATCTTGCTATGTAGCTGAAGTTGGCCTCCCCGTCACAATCCTCTTTCATTAGCCTCTCAAGTGCTAGGATTACAGGTATGCAGTTACACTAAGCATTTTTTTAAAAAGCCAGTTGCTCAGAAAATCTAATTCAGGCTGTTTCTCCTTCATATGATTACCTAGAACATAGCAAGCATAAAATTATTATATCCACTTTTTATCATAGAAATAGTTGTAGCGATGGTGATGTCCAAATAAACTTTTCTTTTTTTTATTGTGAAAATACTGTACAGAGGGGTTACAATTACATGGGCAAGATAATGAGTACATTTCTTATCAAGCATTGTAGCCTCCTCCTTTGTTTCCCCTTCCCATCCCCTCCTTTCCCCCCGTCCCCCACCAAAGTTGTAAAGTTCGTTTTCGACATAATGACTTCTACGTCTCATTGTTGCAATGGGTCCACCTGTATCCCTATTTAAATGATTAGTTTTGTCCCTTCCCCTCCACAAATTATACCCACATCAAATACAGTGAAAGCAGGGGTTATACCGTGGGGGAGGGACATACAAAGCAACAAAGAAATAATCTTATAAATGTGTTAGAAACAGTCACATGAAAGAAAAAAAAACATTTGAATACTTATCTTAGGGTTCATTTCCCTAACATCACCTTATCTGACTTTTTCTGCTTGACTCAGACAGCGGGGACACAGCGGGGACACAGCGGGACACAGCGGGACACAGCGGGGACACATCGGGGACACAGCGCGACACAGCCGGGGACACAGCAGGGGACACAGCGGGGGACTGCGGGAACACAGAGGGACACAGCAGGACACAGCGGGGATACAGCAAAGTCACAACGGGACACAGCGGGACACAGCGGGGGACACAGCAGGGGACACAGCGGGACACAGCAGGGGACACAGCGGGACAAAACGGGACACAGCTGGACACAGCGGGGACACAGCAGGGGACACAGCAAATAAGGGAAGCCATGGGACCTATGTTTCTTTGGGCTTGGCTTACTTCACTTAATATAATTTTTTCCAAGCCTTTCCATTTCCTAACAAACGGGGCAATGTCATTCTTTCTGATGGAGGCATAGAATTCCAAATAAACTTTTCTATACATTGTTCCTTTCCTTTTATTCTAATACAGGAATTTGAACTCTGGGCCCTGTACTCCCTCTGCTCAGATCTCAGCCTGCTGAGTAGCTAGGATTACAAGTGTGAGCCACTCTACTTGGCATCTACCTTATGTGTCAAAACCTAGGTTTAAGTCTACTTTTTCTAGAACTAGAAAGCAGCATAGAACACTTAAGTGTAAGCTCTATTTAGGGCAAAATGGGAAGAGCATGTGCAACACTGGATTAGTGAACTAAGTAAAGAAAAACCCATAGTATTGGGTGTCAGATTATTTTAGATGCTCTTTGTTTACCTATTTTTATCTTCAAAACTCTACAGTTTGCAGATTCTTCTCTTCAATTTATAATTTTCTTAACTGGCACTCATGGCTAAACTTTATTTGTAAGAAACACTCTCAGCATCCTTAAAAATGTCCTCTCCTAATTCCAAATAAATATTTAGAAAAATGTATTCCAACAGCACACTGAATGTCCCTTCTACTCTGGCCTTTCTTTCAATTCCAAATGTTGTCATGATTTCATTTAGTGTGAGACTAAAGTCTTAGATTTATCATAGATCTCATGTTCTAAAACTAAACTTGGGAAAAAAAGATAATGTCTATCAGTTACTCAAGTCCCTTCCTCACTTGGTCTTCTCCATCCTATTTATTCTACATACACTTCTCTTGATTTGAACTAAACTCTGGACCTAGTTCATTTTTTAAAATTTTCTTTGGACTTAATTTCAAACGTTTCTTAAATGTATTCTGCAAAACAGTTGTGGTTTAGATGCTTTCTATAATTTTATTGCTTAAAAATAACACATAAAAGTAGTAGGTCTATATTTCCCATAATAATAGGGAAAATACCTTTCTTTGTAAGGTGTTGGGTCTCTCTGTGCTATGAGAGGAAACACGCAGAAGAAATATTAGCCTCATTTTCACCCCCAGACAGTTCAGTCTGTAAGTCTTGAAAACTACAATTTGTACTGTCAAAATCCATCCAGTCTATGGAATAGTTCTCATTTACCACTGAACCCACCCACCATGGAAATAATTCAAGTGCGTAAGTTACAGAATTCATGGCACTCAGAGAAGACAGATTTGAAGGTGCACACTTTGCTGAATAAATTCTTAAGGAAAAGCATTCTCAGATGATAATAAACAAGATGAAAACCAAGGAGCAAGGAAAGCTCTAGAAGAATGAATGTAAGCATAGCAAGAGAGAACTTCTATTTCATATTTAGACAAGTCTAGAGGAATGAAGGTTGGAGTTCTCTCTAGGAAAAAAAACTCACTTACTTTTCATGTTGAGTTATATATTTATATATACACTTTTGGTGCTTGAAGTTACGTGTTAATAAATACATATGGATAAATAGAGGTTCTAATAGTTTGTCATGTGGTATGTACACAATGAAGTTACTAGCTTTCTCTATCTCTCTACCTATTTCTATCTAGCTATACATATAGTATGTTGACTACTTAAACACCATCATGAGTCTGCTTTTGCCCAAAGCTTTAAAACAAATGAATCAATATGCCACACAATCTGACTCCAACTTCAAGCACTTGTATAAGGAATGAGTTCATTTTCACCACATTTAATTCAGCATTGATACTTACCTTGCTGGACACAGACCATTGCTGCTTTCTAAATAAAGAGGCCAGCAAGAGAAAAATCTCACACAAATGGCTACAAAATAGTAAAACAATATGATACTTACCTTTATGCATCCTCTCCCATTGAGAAGCTATGAGTTTGCTGTTTTCAGCTGGGCAATGGTAAGAGCGTTCTTTGGTTAATAATAAAGGAAAGAAAAGCTCCAGACATCAAGAACTTGGGTTAACCATTGACATAGATTTGTTCCTATAATTCCACTTGGGAATCTGCATAGGTAGCCCTTGGCATTGTACAACCCAGGTGATAGCTAGTCAGCTGAGACAGAGATTACCTCACTGCCTCTGTACCTCTGAAGGTCACTCAAATATACCCTGACCAAGTTTTCCCTTAGTCAGGCATACAAGGAGGAAGAATACCTGAACCAAAGATATGCTCAACAAGGCCAGTAAATGACTCAAATTTTACAAACAGGCTTGCTGAGAATTAACCTATGAAAACTCAGGCCAGTTTCCAGATTTCATCTGAATCATGCCAAAAAAAAATCCTTTCCACCAGCACATTGTCCGTATCCAGGCAGGGAAGGGCTGAGATTGCATATGACAATGCAAATGGAGACAGGATAACTGGAATCAAGTAATTGAACACCCATTTCTTTCTTTACCCTATGATCCTTGAAAAATTATTCATCCCAGCAGCTTAAACTCTAGAAAAGAAAGGTAGGAGCTAAGCTGTCTTCTTACCTTAGGAACCAGAGCAAGAGATTGAGATGGTAAATAAAATTCATCCCGTGGTCCGGTCCTCAGTGTGCAGTCTTCCAGTTGCTCTACCTTGCAGTGGGTTCCTAATGCTAATGGGGTTAAATGAAATGTGGAGGGGGTCATGTGGCACATTGAGTGTTGAGAGAAAGAGGTAGATTTAAAACGCTAGCATTGGGATTATGGTCCAAGTAATATAAAAGTAGTCATGAGGAACTAAAGAAACATCAGTTGTGTCTAGGAAACCTTAAAGGAATAGCTTAGTGGCTGGGTATGAGTGCTTTTCTTCTTTGTTTCAAGGATCATTGGTACACAGACGACCTGAGAGACTACCATGCATGGTGAGCTCTCCACGTTTAAGGGTCTTGGCTAGGTGGTGGTTCTTGTAGCTGTATGCATTCATTTTGTTTATTTTTGATCTAGAGATTAAGTCTAGGGCCTCTGCCAACTTGAGCTCTACAAGCTCTACCACTTGAGCCATACTGCAACCCCATTTGGGATGTCATTGTTGCTTTGCTCCATATTGCTTTTACTGTATTGAGTTATGAACTCCAAGCTTTGTGGCTTGCTAGGTAGGTGCTCTACCACTTGAGCCACATCTCCAAGCCCTATCCTCTCTTTTTATTTTTGGCTCTTCTTATTTTCAGGTAGGGTCTCATGCTTTCGCTCGAGGCAAACCTCAGGCCATGATCCTCCTACGGATGGCCTCCTGCATTCCTGGGACCGCACGCCATTCATTGATTGAGCAGGCTTGCCTAACTTTTTTACCTGGATTAGCTTTATACTGCTGTCTTCACATTCTCTACCTCCTGAGTTTACAAGCAAGAGCCACCACACTTGGTCACTTGGGGTGATTGGGCTTTTACTTTTATTTTCCCAAACCCAAACACTTGGGAAAGGAAGATTGTATTACAGAGTCATCACAGCCATCTATTAGCTGTGTGATTTCTGTATCCCAGTTTCCTCACCTTTAAAATGAGGGCCCCATTCATGACCATTTGCTACGGCAGCAACACCAACCTCAGGGAGATGATCAGTACTTTAGGCTGTGAGCTATCGTAGAGGTTGTGACCTTCAAATGAGGACACAGCACCTTGCAACCTGTTATACAGGGCCTGCAGAAGAATGTGAACCTTCCAGCAGACTTCACTTTTCAGTCACCCATAAACGTCAGAGAAGCAGTGGACCTAGAAATTACCTTCTGTGCAAAGAAACTCAAAGGCCAAATAAACACCTACATTTTCTTTCTTACTCACTGAGGTGGTTTTCATGTGACATGTCTGTAAACTCATCCAGGTAGATTGTTTTTTTTTAATAAGAATAAGCACTCCCTTTATGCATGCTCCATCTGAAAGGACTTTTAAGAGAGATCCACTTGATTTTCTCTGTTCTGAGGTGAATTGTAGGAGAGGTAACTCAGAGTGAGCGTCTGGGTTGGTCTGAGAAAATGAAACACCTGAAGGGATCCCGGGGAAAATTGGAAGGCTTCCCAATTTTAACCGAGTAGCATTCCTTCATTCCTTTGCTTGAAATGACTTCTGGGAAAACTGGACATACTCATACTCACACGTAAGCAAAAACAAAACACACAAACAAAAAAAGCCCACCCACCACTTTAAAAGACAGAAAAAATGGCACCAGGTTTGACTGTTGTGACACACATCTATGTCTCTTCAAGTTACCTTCCCTTTATTGAAGCTTATCTTTGGAGATCCATTTGATCCTCTGAGAACCTGGATCAAACCAAATGCATATTTGTTTTTTAGGATTGTACATTTACAAGATGGTGAAAGAATTTATAACTTGAATGGAAAAACTTGACATGAAAGTTTTTGTGTCAATCATGTGTCCCTTTTGGCTGCACTGTGATTGAGAAAAGGTTAAACTAGGAAAGGATGACTTCTCATGAAGTCTTCTAACTCTGGAATTATCTAGCTGTAACCTGCCTCTGGTTTTTGTAATAACTATGACCCAAGGATGGTTTTTAGATTTTTTTTTGAAGAGCAAGGAAAAAAATGTAAAAAAGAGGAATCATCTGTGATGTGTGGAATTTATATGAAATTTAGGTGCCCATCAATCAAGTTTGTGTGAACACAGCTAAGCCCATTCACTTGCATACTGTAATGGCCTCCATGATACAATGACAGAATTTAGGAAAACTAAATGTCTCACTAGACATGTAATATTAGTATTGTTAGTATCATAGTATCTCTTTAGTGGTTGGCCCCTTACAGAATAACTTTAACCAATTCTCAATCTGGTGAAACCATAGAATTCACTTCTCTCCAATGGCAAATTCCTTCTTTTCTGATGAATGACCTAGTCTACGGCCATACCACCCTGAACGCACCCGATCTCACCTGATGAGTGACCTTCTTCATATGGTTTGAGTCAAAGCCAACTGTTGTTTCTTTGACTTAAAATTCCATTGCTCTGGTGAAGATCACAGGCCACAAAGGTCCATGTGTTCGAGACTGGACTGTTAGCCCCTGGTGTAACTGGATTGGATCTTCAAGAAGTGGAACCACGTTGGAGCAAAGTTAGGTCACCAAGATGAGCTTTGAAGGTCATTCAATCCTCTTCTTTTCCTGTTTCCTTTCTAGTTGCCATGAGATGAATAGATTTGCTCCATGATACTTTCTGCCCATCTCAGCATCCCTGCCCTCCTCAACAAACAAACAAACAACTAAGCCAACATACTGTACACCAAAACCTGTGAAGCCATGAGCAAAAATTAATCTTTTCCTCCATTTAGGCCTTTAAAGTCAATTTATTTCAGGTTTCTGAAATAGCCACAGAAAGTAAACACACCTATCTTTACTCTTTGGGTTTTTGGTTAGTTTTTAGTTAGCTCTTTCTGTGCCTCCACTAAGCATCAATTAGGTATTGGTTAACAAAAAAAATTTTTAAGGCACAATTTCTTTTCATCTGTATCTTAACACTTCTTTGCCATACATACTTCTTACCTCCTTCACTAAATTTTTTACATTTAATAAGCAGGAACTGGCTGACTTGTTAACTGTCTTCGGATCCAGCAAGCTGTCAGGGCAAAAGGTAGGCAATAATAGATTCTAAGGACTGGATGCTTTTCTGAATTAATCAAGTATATCATATCTAAGGGCAGAAATATTGATTAGCTTACCCACCTTGACTCTCTTTTCTTCAACTGGGTATCTTGTGAGTCTCCAGATCATTCCTCGTCCACCTCTCCCACCCAGTCAGAGGTTCACAATCCACACTCACTGCAGAGATCCACCCTGCCAACATCACAAGGATTTGGTTATGCCTAGATGGCACTCAACTCCATACCTCAGCTCTTGAAATTTCCCTTTGAGTGTCTCATTCCCACTAGAAAGGATTTCTGTGTTTTGTCATGTTCTAAGCTCTCTTTGAAATAGATGGTAAGAGGCAGAGAAACAAGGGAAAAAAGAAGAAGAAAAAGAAAAAAGCCAATTTTAACATTTTTTCCTAAAGAACAATCTGATTTGGTATTTCCCCATGATTATGCATAGAACTTCAACAATGATTCAAAAAATCATAACATTTGAAATAGCTTGTATTCACATAGCCTAGGACATAGATAAAATAGCCTGATTAATATTAAGACAAAGAGTTGGGGTACCATCTGAGCCCCAGTGGCTCATGACTATAATCTTGATTATTCAGGAGGCTGAGATCTGAAGAGTACAGTTCTAAGCCAGCCCCAGCAGAAAAGTCCATGAGACTCTTACCTCCAATAAATTCCCAGAACTGTCAGAAGTAGAGTTGTGGCTCAAGTGGTAGAGTGCAAATCTTGAGCAAAAAGAATCTCAGGGATAGCATCTAGGCACTAAGTTCAATCCCTAGGACAGGCAAAAAAGAAGAAGAAAACAAGTTCCATATCTGCCTGTTAGATGGGGAAGAAAAAAGGGATATCTTAAAAAAAATTCTCTCCGAGGTATTTAAAGTCATATATGTGGATATGTTCATTATGGACAACATGAGTTAAGAGTTCAAAGAAAGTAATAAAAATCACTCTCTTCAATTTCCTTCAACACAATTTTTCTCCATCTTTTTCTTAATTGTTTTAGCAAAAAGAGAGAGAGAAGTTCAATAATATTTACATGTTTGAATCTCGCATGGGAGTTCTAATTGTGCTTTTGAGAATTATTGAAGCAAGATACTTCCCTGCATGGAAGAGTGAGTCAGGGAGAATTTTGGAGCCAACATGTTCATTTTCTGGAACTCCTAGTTATGCTGTGTGAACTGATGGTTTACACTACTTTGAGAAGATTAACTGAAACACAGCCCTGGATGAATTTTATAAAGTATCAAACATGCATCCAGTATTTAAAGGAGATGGCCAAATATCAGGTATATTCTCTTCCTCCTGAAAAGGTACTTGTAAATTGAGATGATCAATTTAAAGTGCTGATGATAGCAGGC